ACGGGGAGGGTGTGGGGTTCTGTCAAATTATTATTTATTTACTGGAAGACCAATATCCTATTTTAAAGGCTTCATTAGAGAAGATTCCTGTAATCCTACGATAAACTACTACTATAACATGCAAGGATACTTCTGTAAAACATGTTCAAAAAGCGACACACTATTTTAGTGAATTGAGGTAAAATGACGTAATAGCGAAATGTTGATTTAGCAAATCACTGTTGTCGTTGTTGATTTCCTATTTTCACTACTTTTCTGTCACACGCAGTTACTGTAAAGGGGATAATTATTCACTGGGTTTTAATTTTGCTTATTTCGCTGACTGGAAAATGCGCTAAATTAAAACACAGTGAATATGTAAAATTTAGCATAGAACATATTATCTAAATGACGAAACCGTAAATTTAAAACCCACTGAATATGCCTGAAATGGTAAATTAGTCATTTTACAGTATCATCTCCATAAAAACAAAGAAAAACTGTCAAGTGTAATAAGGAAGTGAAAATAATCTGGAGATTATTACGTTTTCTGGGATGTTTACAAAGTGCGTGTGTGGGGAAAAGGACGTTGTTTGGTCGCTATTTTGAATTTATAATGAAGTCATTAGCGACATCTTAAATTAGCGAATTAGTTCTCTCGCTAAATTCACTAAAAAGACATCATCGCGAAAAATACATGTTTTACAGTATGTGGTTATCAAGAGTCCCCAAAATTTCTCAAAAAGTGCACAAAGTTAGTACAGTGATTGTATTGACTTCTGTATTGCTCAGTTTTCATAAAGCCAAATAAAACTTTTTCATTAAACATTTTTTTTTTGTGTGATCACAATGCAGTTGTGGTAATTTGACGTCAGCCCTAGATTTAAAAAAAAAAATATCCCACAAAAAATAAAGTTGCCATGATTCATCCAATTAAATATTTTCTTAACTTTGTTTGACGTTAGGTTATCATTGAAAGATTCTTGACCAAGGTACTGTAAAAAATAAATACCTTTTCTAAGTTCCATACTTTGATGAGTGGATTGATTCCCTGTTCATCTTCCTGTGGGACAGAAAATAAAACACCAGTGTTAACAGTACGGTGCTTAACATAATATGGAGAAAAACAGTTTGGTAGATGATATTACTCTGCAGTTGGTAACACACATTTTGCACACAATTTGAATCACAGTATAAAAAAGAACCCTCCATCTCCCCATCAAAGAAGGTGGAGAAGGTTTAATCTGCGTAACTGCAGACGATTACGCACCCTGTAACTCAGCTCGCCGGCAAAAACACAAGCTGCCAAAACAGCATCCTGCTGCACATAGGTAGCCCCTGCCAAGAGAGCCAGATGACAATGCAGGATATCACACATAGGAGGCTGGTGCGTTCCGCCTCTGACTGTTCAGAGTCCTAGAGATGCACTATT